TACTAAGTCATTGTTAACGACACTTCTCATCTGCCTAAAAACACTGCGCCGACTCCAGTGTGCCTTGCGAAAAGCAGCTAATTTATCATGACTCTTATAGACTTCCCAATTGTATTTACAACTTTGTAAGACATGAGTTTTGAGTTTTTAAATGCTTTCTAATTCGTATTTTTCAGACAATGCAATGGATATCTCTGAATTTCCGACAAACTAATAGATGTAAATGTTTAATAGTGTAAATATAACATTTAATGTGTTTTGCTTTGACTGTTAAAGATTGATTTTTAATCAATGTTGCTACATGGTTGATAATCGTTGCAATCCTGTGCAGATGTATTCGTTTCCACGTGGTCAATTTTTTAATTATGTGCTTAGATTTTTTTCCTTATTGGCTTCATTTTAGGAGACTGTTGCTAACATATTATATAAGGTCAACTGGTGGAGAATCCTATTTCAGTCGTGATTTTCATCCAACTGGGACTAGTTCATAATGCAAGTTACCTTCGAAAATCATCACTTATTTGTATTTAGTAGTGTGTATTTAAATGAGAAGAATGTGCGAATATTCAATTCTGCAGATGCATAAGTTTGTGAAAACTGAGAAACATGCAACAAATGTTGGATACTATATATAGGTGCCGACCTAATTTTCACTTTGATTCCGTAGACTGCTACAGCTTGAATCTGTTCATCTTTGGGTTAGATTCTACGTTTTATTGAATAAAGAATGGAAGTCATGGTAGTACTTCGATGTAGTCGCGAGCTGTAGAAATGGCTCTTGTTTTTTCATTTGCAGCTGTATACGAATGATTGATGTGATTTTAGTGATAGTAGCACCAGCATATAAATCAGTTAAGCTCGTGAGCTCTGAAACCTTAGTAGATGTAGTCGAAGCAATTAACCAGCATTCTAAGTTTGTGTATTTGTAACTCATTTTCAAGTGCAATTTTACGTATTCGACTACATTTGGGTTACATTGTGTGTATATGAACCAGTATTGGGAGTTGGTTGCTAAAACTAGAGTTGGCGTGCATCTCAGCACTAGTTGTTTCTTTGATAATTACCCCACAAAATGAAATTATCGTCATACACTGTATTATCAATATCGAAATTTAACTAAATCCTCATATTTCTAAAACCATCGTCGGTTGTTTCTTATATATTTAGTATTAATATTCTTAATGTTTTTTTCTATATGCCATCTCGACTTACCAGTTATGGTACCTTAAGATTATACTGTTTTAAAGGTCGACTAGATAGGGGATAGAACAAATATACCATTAAGCATTTAGCTAAATAATTATTATACATACAGTCGCTAGTAAGGTTTTATAAACAACTACATTTCCAAAGCTTTTTCTACAACCTGTATAATAAGATACTTTAACTATTTCGTGGTTCGTTGTGATTCGTCAGCAGGTCGTACCTCCAGTCTCAGGGTCTGATATTCCCTTCCGAATTCAAACTCTCGTCACCTAGCTCCAGTCATTTGGGCAGCGATAGATTTCCACGACTGAGATATTTATAATTTTCTGGTGACTGTTTAGTAATCAGTGTCATGTTAATCTAATTCTTTGCTGTTGACAGAATTCTATTGATCGAGTTACAATAGGTGCTTGATCAAAACAGATGTTAGGAAACTAAAGGAAATAGTAGTGACATACCTTCTTGATAATATATGGAAAAACTTTCAGAAATATCGTCCGTCTTTCTGATGTGCTTATTTGATTACGCGGTTTGTTAAGAGGTGTCCGAAACTATGAATTTTTTAAAATGATAAAACTACGGCTAAAAACCACCAAGCTATAACGGTTGTACTGTCTTTCGGGTCATTAGTATAGATGGCGCACGTGGTTCGGTCGCTACATTGGGATATTTACCTTCAAGCATTCAACGATTGTTCTGTTTTTAGAGCACGTAGGTCCTACGCTGAGGTGAAGCGGCTCTGGTTTTCAAATTTAGTCCATTATAAATACTTCTAAGGAAATATGTGGTCTGTTGCTTCTTTACAAACCATGATGAACATCTCCAGTTTTATGCAGAAACGTTGTGGGAGGATGAGCATTTTTAAGAGAACTAAAGCCACCATCAACAGCGCTGCTGTGCCCTTACCTACGTTACTAAAAACAGGTGCGTTATGTGAACTGAAAATCCGGTAGGTCACCAATCCCAGGTGTGTCGTCACGTGTATCCTGTCGTTTAAAATCATTGGAGTAGGACTAGTACATTTTTGATGAAGGCTGAGTAGCACAATTAAATGAATGTCACTCAAGAACACCAGAGTTTAATAATTATAAAGTCGAAAGACAGCCTAAAATCAACAATACCACAAACGATTGTTTAATGAATGTTCACCACGTATATACTAATCGGTTTATCAAGAGACAAGCATCAAAATAGATGAAACTGAGTGTTCGTTCTTCACAGACTGACTGTCCCAAAATAACTCTGTTATTCATCATTGCTTCACTCTTTATGTTGCAGTAGTTGTTCAGTTAAAAGCAACGAAGGTATCTAGTCATGAATATTGCGTATTAAACGTAGGTGTAGTTACAGCGGTGTAATAAACTCATTTTCTTGACAGCACTCATATCGTAATAACAAGCACACCATAGGAAAGTAACTAAGGAAGACTAACATTTTTGATATGAATAAAGTTGAACTAGTAAACCAAACATACAAGGTTTTAAGAGTATTTTGACCGTTCAACTTACAGTCAGTTACTAACTAACAATTAAGGGATATGCTTGTAGGGAATTTACCATCGCTTCTTGATATAATCCTGATTTTCTGATAGATCTAATGAACGCTTATTCACTGGTTAAAACAATGTTATCATTTACAATTATTCTGTTGAAGTCAGTAATATGACGAAATAAGTTAATATCACAGGAACGTCAATTAAGACATCTAAATCTCAGCTACAACGTAGGACCAGGCACTAATATGCATCGGTCCAAATTGCCATGCCGCATTAGCACAGCAAGCTGAACACCGGATTCATAGAAGTAGTTAAGTCAGTGGTGGTAATGTATAAAAGAAAGATTGCATATAACGACAGTACAGGAAGAAAGAAAGATATGAAGTGATTTTAATCTCATAGTTTAAGGGAAGACAGAGAGCGTATACACCTACACCATTGTGATCGATTCTGAGTCATGTCACCAAGAGCCTCCAACCATTGGTTACGATAGTCAAGCGGACCACAACCAAGTAGTCTGCATCTACCAACATGGCGAAGACTAGAAGTTAGTGATTTCAAGCATTGATGCCACGTTTTGGTTTGACCGCCCCTAACTTTCTCCCAACCATCCCGAATATCGGTTAGCATTGCGCGCCGTAGTAATTGATGTTCAGGCACACGCATCACATGGCCCAACAATCTCAGTTGATGAAGATTCACAACCTCATCAACTGATTTACGGGTATCTTCAACTCCTAATGGTAACGTTTCGCAGCCGTAAAGTAAGACAGAACGAACTGCTGCGCAGTGTTGACGCAGACCAATCTTGAAGCAACAACTTGCATTTACAGGGAGAGAAGCGCATTACAAACATACTGGTATTGTTGCTCAGCGCTACCAAGACTGCATTTTATCAACGTGTTCACCAAACAGGACTATATCATCTGCGTATTCTAAGTCGATAAGTGGATCGCCTGGACGGAGATCAATACCTGAGAATTCAGTCGACGAGAAAGTTATTTCCATCAGTAGATCTACGATGAAGTTGAAAAAATGGGGAAAGTGGACAGTCTTGACGGACACCACTTGAGGTTGCAAAAGTAGATGACAGTTCGCCATAAGCTCTCACTCGACTAGTAGTGTTCGAGTAACGAGCCTTTACAAGGTGTATGCACTTCTGAGGTACGCCCTTCAATGACAGACACTTCCACAGAACCCCTCGGTCTACAGAGTCAAATGCTGCTTTTAAGTCAAGAAAGACTACAATTGTCGGACGCCGATAAGTATGCCTGTGTTCTAGAACCTGACAAATGGTCAATATGTGGTTGATGCAGCCACGACCAGGTCTGAAGCCAGCCTGATTTTCTCGCGCTCGTAGTTTACTAATCTTAGGCGACATAATTATTGACGCTAGTACTTTAAGTGCTATGTTAGTCAAACTAAACTCTCTATTTTCACAGGATAATTATGACCCTCTCTTATATATTGGGACGATAAGTGATGTGACCAGTCAGATGGGATAACACTCAACTCTCAGATTTTAGCTGAAATATTAATCAACCTAATCGCTAAAATTGGACCACCATCCTTAAGGACCTCTGGATCCAATCCATCTGCCCTTCCTCGTATCAAATTAACTATGGCCTTTTGAACTTCACTTAGAGGGGTGACCTACTTCAATGTTTCATTCACACTGTCTGTGAATGGAGGGTAGTTGTAGAGTAGCTGAACTGCTCCTTGAAATATTCAGCCCATCGTTCTAAAAGTCTGGGCTGAGAGCAGATGAGGGCGTCGTCTTTTTCCGACATAGTCTCACTTCAACTGGATTTATGAATTTCAGTTTCTTTTATTAGTCTAAATCTCTTTGCATGATGCAAACCAAAAGTAGTGACCTAGTGTTGTTTTGGCCACTAAACTCTCCTCGACTTATTCGTTTAGTACGTATTATACTGTACCTGAGTGGATTGAACATAAATAACATGGTTGAAATTTTACAAATACATTAACCTTTATAGTGCAACGGTAAAGCGGTTGAATAGTGGTTACTCAATTTTTAGTCAGTGAGCGTTTTCATATACTTATCAACTTAGTTCGATTTGTGTTACTAGATTGTATCACTAGCCCCAATAGAAACGATGTGGCCCAAAGCCGATTGATGATTTAGTTTATTAACCATGTATGGATTTATGTACTCGGAGCTTTGAGCTACAGTTTGTGTGACAGAGTACATGAACATGAATGTAATAAATAAGGTAAATCATCATCCCTTACCTGTTATTAATGTGTGACACCCATGCCCGAACACGATGATTGAAAATGAGGCAATAAGTTATATATTATTACAGTTAAACATAATTCGAAAATGTTTGCAAGAAGCGATGAAATTATATTTTGAGAGTCTGAGACAAAATACATGTGGATAAATATGTAAAATTATACAGAATATCTTATAACGTGTGAGAGTCGAAAATTATTTAGTCCAAGAAACTTTCTGTATATCGAAGTGTTCAGTGAGAGTGCTCAGATAGTTGTTAAATTCAATTATCCTTTGTTTATGCGATTTATCTGCCTTCGACAGCACAGATTCCAATATACGTTTGTCTCTACGTTTCTCCCACTCTACTTGAGACTTAGTTAGATTTGCATATATAGGCTTTGAATTCTTCGCTTCCTTGACAGTTTCATCATTTGAATTCACTTCAGACGTATTGACAGCCACTTCGAGATCGTTTGGTGCTAACTTTTTGCTATGCTTTTTCTTTTTTCTAAAAAAAATATTATGGTAAGGGTACTTACTTTTTTATTCCTTGCCCAGATTTGAGTTTTAGAGAACTACATAAAACATCATCATAATCTGACATTTGTTGGGCAACAGCCAAGATCAAATTTTATAGAACAGAAGGAGCACTGAGACACTTGAGTCAAATCAAATTGCTTAAGCAACTGGAATTGGAAAATGAAAACTTATTGTTTCGTTCCTTGTATCAGTCTGCAAGCAATTACATAGAAACTTGTCTTAATATCTTTAGAAATGAAAAGTAAACGTCTGAATCTTTCAACGCGCGTCGTGAACAAACGGTTAAACAGGTTCGACTTTAGTTATGTCAACCAGTCAGTGGTAATGTTTTAGCCTAATAAACAAAACTTTCTGATACTGTATTTGAGTTACAAGTTTGAAGGAAATTTGTTAAGAAGAGTTGTGATTACATTCGCCACTAGCAAATCGATTTATTTTCGGTCAAACCAAGAAAACATCGTTTTGAAATTAGTTGGCATATAAGCTGAATTGCTGCTTTGTGCCAGTTTTATATAAGTTTGTATTAAGGTTTGCGAATAGTTAGTCTAATTTTGGATCGTATTCAGATTGACTCAGTGCGATAAAGGTTACCAGTTTAGTTTAGAAAAGAGCGGACACCCGATTTCCTGCTGGCATAATTTATAACAATACTAATTGTGATGTGTGTACATTAGTTTGCTAGTGGTGGAACCTAAATTTTAGAGGACTTATCAACTGCAGAATAGTGAGGCCTATAGACAGATATACTGGAAAATTCTTTCAGGTGGAAAAGGGTAAAGAAGATTATCATTTTTGGTGTTGCATAAAATCCGTATCTACTATTGAAGAAAATGTTCGCCGAAGCCAAGATTCACAATCGTCAATTGACATAAGTAGATCTAGGTATGGTTTCTTGAGTTAAACACTGGATTCCATAAAATTTATCGCATGGTGTGCATGTGCGTTATTTGGATACTCACTTAGTAATCGGGATCACCATAGACATGTCAAACCTATATGGCTTTGAACAAGTTTTGTGTCTAGGTTTAAACATGATGGCGAACACTGAAATAACGTACCAAATAATATAAAAAACTTTGCGTTTATATAGTGAAGCAGCCTCAAGAAACCCAAAATATGAACATTACTTAAAAAGGTGAGACTATAATTTATGGACCTTTGAGCGACGCCAGACTGACCTTGAGTGTTCACCTAATAACCAGGACTAAATGAGGGTTATAGACCTGTGTGAGGAATTCGAATTATGATTTACAGTTAATGGTTAGGGTTTAGAAATCAGATTTAAGCTCTTCACCACGAACTGACATCAGCTATAATGCCAAAACTCTATTTATCCAAATGGATGAGTGAATTTCGCGCCAAAATCCAGGACTTGTTATCTTATATGCGATTGGTTCGTCCATAAATTATACTCTCACCCTTAAGAAAATAAGGGGAAACGCGTCAAGAAATCTTTGTCGCCTGTCGTGAGAAGAGAGGATTCTTCCTTTATTGTCGCCCTGTATTCAAAATACTACTGAATTTATATAGTATTGTCTATTTATTCCCTAAATGTACGATAGTGTTTACACTTAGCCCACATTTACGACTCATCATAACTCTGAATTGCTTGCTTGTCTCTCTCGTAACCTTCATGTGCTGATTTTTTTAGTATTTTGCATGACTTAAATGGAGAGGCAGACTAAAAACCAACATATAGCTGTTACCCTCTAGATAAACAAGGGTCATGATCCCCTGCATAATCCTGCAGAAAAGGTAACTTTTTGTAGTGAGCCTGAAGTTAGGATTTGTGGCCACGTCAGTCAAATATGACCACAGGAAACAAATAACTATGTATGAATCTTAGATTCACCCGCACTACGAAGTTTGGAGAATTTTGGGGAGACTCCCGAAGTTAAATGACCTTCACTAATGTTTGGGGAAATCCCCAAACCGAAATGACGTTGACCAAGGTTCAGTTTCCATTAACGAGGATAGCAGGTTGGTGAACTTGTGTTAACCCTGACAGACCACCTTCTAGTGAAGGCGTTCAAATCAATGAATAATCGATGAGAAAAACCGGACCCCACATTAGGTTTATTGGATCGCGGTTTATGAAACCTTTAGCTATGACCTCGGATATCATTAGTGCTGGAAGGAGCAAAAATATAAGACATATTAACAGCCAAATCATAATTAAAAATACTTTTGAGCACGCTAATTAAAAAGGACAGTGGTATTTTTCCTCGCTGAGTAAATTTCTTTGTTTTGATCGTGTTTACGTATCAAGACTACTGTTTTCACTTTAATTGAATTCATTTCAGTTAAAGTATTCGACTAGAGCACCGTTTTTACCGTTCTCGCAATTAGTTTTGTCGTTTGTACTCTTGAGTAACTCATTATCAATTGTATCTGTTAGTACTTTTGGTCCTAACAATCTCGATGTTCAAAGCAGTATGCAGTTCACATTAAATCACACAGTTGGCTGCACTCTTCATCGACACACGAGCCGAGTGATCCACCTCTCAAAGTTGTACACCAATAATCCCATACATTGGTTTCCCAAATGCATTGAACTAATGGTTAACGCTGAAGCCCAGGATATTTACCGCTAGGCCAGCGTACATGCAGTCCAGCACGAAGCCAGGTGCATGCCAGGCAGCAAACCCGTGAATGACAAGCCAAACCGGATCGCTTCAACAGTGTAAAAGTTTGAAATAGGAACAATAACGGGGCGGATTTGCATGCATATAGCATACAATTCTCTTTGAACCTAGCACACAACAATAGCATCATGCACTGTCCCATCGCCCTTGGCAGATCAGGCAACTCGAAAGTTACGAGAACACCATCAGGGCACACGACAGGCTAGGTATCTGCAGTTCTTCACTTTTTGGTCATTGATTATTTTTTTGTTTCTGAGTATCATCGCATCTCGTTGCTTTTTGAAAAGGACTCCTTTTAAATGACCGGACGTCCGGGTTGTCGTTATCCCGTTGAAAGCGGCATGCAGTGCGACGAGTGCAAAAGCTGGTACCACGAAGTTTGCACGAACTTAATGCCTGAGGCTTTCAAACGGTTCAGTAAGAAGGGTTGCGTATGGCTTTGTCAACAGTGCTGTTCGGATGCGAACAGCCTGTTAACCGAGGCCACCTCACTTTTTGATGCTGCAAAGAAGTGTTTTAACAAGCGTAGTCGGAACACATCAAACAGCATTCAATCTATCGACACACAAATCGACATGAAACAAACTAAGGTTAGTTCGATAGTAGAAGACTCACTCCGGTCAAAGAAGGAAAAGCAGTCTCCAAAGGGGCCTGCCTTAAACAAAATCTCAAGGAAAGTAGGTTCTTCTGGTCCCCGTCTCCCAGATGGGATCCCACAGGAAACGCCTAGAAGCCGCAATCGCAAGGCTCGATCGGTTTCAGGCGGTAAACATAACCTGACCTCTCAGGTCGTCGACAACCCTCCAGAATCCAACACTAGGTTTGACGCAACTGTTGTTGCTTCTCCCAGCACCGTTGACGAGTGGGTACAGGTTGTAAGTGTAGTGTCATTTACTATGTTAAGCCCATATACTGTATTCTAACTTTCGGACACCCATTCTATTCATTCTACTTGAGCCATACTTTGATCTTGTTATTTATTCGCTTATCAGTCTTCACTGTTTTTATATGAGCGTATATGTGTGTGCACATCATATCCCATGACTCATTGCATGCCTGTAGCTTATTTTTGTCTGACTATAAATATTGAGTAACGCTTGACTAAAATGGAGTTGGCTTCCCAGCCATCTTCCCTGCGTGTCATTTTGTTTTTCTCTGTTTCATTCGCTTCATATACAAAATATATGTATTCACAAATCAATTCTCGTTATTCGACTTATTCAATTCCGTTATTGACTAACGCAATTTAAGTCGATGATTATATGCGAGGATGGGTGACATATATACTTCAACATCAGTCATCATTACGATCTACGTGGAGTCAGATCCACGGGCCACTAAATAAGGAAGAAAAAAAGTAGCGATATGAAAGGTAATCCTACGCCCGCGAAAGTAGTCGTAAAATCGAAAGCTGATCATAGCGACAGATCAGCTATTTTTCATAGAATCAAGGAGAGCGAGAGCTCTAAACCCAAAGCTCGTTTTGAGCATGACATTGTGCTGATTAAGCAGCTGCTTAATCAACTCATGCCTCAAAATATCACCGGGGTCACCTTGCTAAATGTGTACAGACTAGGGAGTCTAGCGGACTTGAAACCAAATCATTCCAGACTGCTTAAAGTAGTATTCAACTCTTCGAGCGAACGTGACCTAATTTTACAGAATGGACACAAATTAAAGGGTTCAGGAGTCTTTATACAAAAGGACTTACCGTTGGCAGACCGTGTAAAAAGACGGGAAGTCGAAAAAGAACTACAACTTAGGTTAGACGCTGGCGAAAATAACCTAAAAATTGTAAATTTTCGGGTTGCAAGGCTTCGACAGAGAATGATGCCGAAGCCACTCTGGGTGAAGCACCAAGCCACTTAAATAGGCTTCGGATCTGTTACACCAATGCACGAAGCTTACTTAATAAGCGATCGGAACTAGGTGTACAGATCGACTCTACAAAGCCAGACATAATCGCAGTAACAGAAACCTGGCTGACACAGGCTATAGATAGTATGGAACTTGATTTCGAGGGTTTTACGTTAGTAAGGGCCGGCAGAACACAAAAGCGCAAAGGAGGGGGAGTAGATCTATTCATTAGGAATGCTATCCCATTTGCCATTATCGATAGTGTATCCCATGAGAGTGGGACGTGTGAATTAGTTAGTCTCCGCTTGAAATGCAAGGGACAAGAGCTGCTGATTGGCTTGGTCTATCGCAGTCCAAGCTGTGAGGTAAATGAAGTCCTGCTAAGCAGTCTCAATACTTGGTCACAAAGTGGTCGATGTTTAATCCCAGGGAACTTTAATGCACCTATGGTAGACTGGGAAAATCTGCGAACTGAATCGTCAGAAAATTCCTTCGAGCAGGAACTAGTTGGTGTGGTTATCACATGTGCCCTAGTGCAACATGTGAAAGAAGCGACTAGGTACGACCCGGACACTGAATCATCCTTACTAGATCTGATACTCACTCACTATGTGGATGACGTTGCGAACCTTCATTATATGCCACCCCTAGGTACAAGTGATCACGCAATTTTGATTCTCGACTTCCATATAACTGTCAGTCACGAGCACACGTCAGCCCAATCCAGACCTAACGTCTGGAAAGCAAATTTACCAGATATCATGCACTCATCATCGTTAGTAGATTGGACAATAGACCCAGAGTCCTCAGTTGAAACGGCCTGGGATGCATTTCGAAATTCATACTTAAAAGTTACCACACCCTACATCCCTTGGACTATACCAAGGGGGCCGAGAAACTCCCCACAATTGTTCAGTAGGGAGGTCTGCATCCTTCTCCGTAAGCGAAGAAAAATGTGTGATATATTTAGGTTACTGGGGAATGATGAAACTAAATCCCAGTATAGAAAAGTCCGGAATACCTGTGCCTCGACCCTCCGTAAGTCTAGAAAGTTGTACGAAGAAAAGATTGTTAAGGAATCCATAGAATGTCCTAAACGCTTGTATTCTTATATAAACCAAAAGACAAAGAGAAGAGGAAACATTCCTGCTGTATGGGGATGCAGTACTGCCGCGTCACTAGTGGAGGACGACTTTTGTAAGGCTTAAGTGTTCTCAAACTAATTTAGCAATGTATACACCATAGAAGCACCCTTCCCATCAGCGCATACAGGCCATCAGGCCTCCTGCCCCCCCCCCAAACTGAAAACTGTAATCAAGACGCCTCTAGTTCTGCGATATGACAACGGGAAAAGGTTCAGCTTTGCCAGTCGAAAATTAAAACTGCGTGATCACTTGTACCTAGGGGTGGCATATAATGAAGGTTCGCAACGTCATCCACATAGTGAGTGAGTATCAGATCTAGTAAGGATGATTCAGTGTCCGGGTCGTACCTAGTCGCTTCTTTCACATGTTGCACTAGGGCACATGTGATAACCACACCAACTAGTTCCTGCTCGAAGGAATTTTCTGACGATTCAGTTCGCAGATTTTCCCAGTCTACCATAGGTGCATTAAAGTTCCCTGGGATTAAACATCGACCACTTTGTGACCAAGTATTGAGACTGCTTAGCAGGACTTCATTTACCTCACAGCTTGGACTGCGATAGACCAAGCCAATCAGCAGCTCTTGTCCCTTGCATTTCAAGCGGAGACTAACTAATTCACACGTCCCACTCTCATGGGATACACTATCGATAATGGCAAATGGGATAGCATTCCTAATGAATAGATCTACTCCCCCTCCTTTGCGCTTTTGTGTTCTGCCGGCCCTTACTAACGTAAAACCCTCGAAATCAAGTTCCATACTATCTATAGCCTGTGTCAGCCAGGTTTCTGTTACTGCGATTATGTCTGGCTTTGTAGAGTCGATCTGTACACCTAGTTCCGATCGCTTATTAAGTAAGCTTCGTGCATTGGTGTAACAGATCCGAAGCCTATTTAAGTGGCTTGGTGCTTCACCCAGAGTGGCTTCGGCATCATTCTCTGTCGAAGCCTTGCAACCCGAAAATTTACAATTTTTAGGTTATTTTCGCCAGCGTCTAACCTAAGTTGTAGTTCTTTTTCGACTTCCCGTCTTTTTACACGGTCTGCCAACGGTAAGTCCTTTTGTATAAAGACTCCTGAACCCTTTAATTTGTGTCCATTCTGTAAAATTAGGTCACGTTCGCTCGAAGAGTTGAATACTACTTTAAGCAGTCTGGAATGATTTGGTTTCAAGTCCGCTAGACTCCCTAGTCTGTACACATTTAGCAAGGTGACCCCGGTGATATTTTGAGGCATGAGTTGATTAAGCAGCTGCTTAATCAGCACAATGTCATGCTCAAAACGAGCTTTGGGTTTAGAGCTCTCGCTCTCCTTGATTCTATGAAAAATAGCTGATCTGTCGCTATGATCAGCTTTCGATTTTACGACTACTTTCGCGGGCGTAGGATTACCTTTCATATCGCTACTTTTTTTCTTCCTTATTTAGTGGCCCGTGGATCTGACTCCACGTAGATCGTAATGATGACTGATGTTGAAGTATATATGTCACCCATCCTCGCATATAATCATCGACTTAAATTGCGTTAGTCAATAACGGAATTGAATAAGTCGAATAACGAGAATTGATTTGTGAATACATATATTTTGTATATGAAGCGAATGAAACAGAGAAAAACAAAATGACACGCAGGGAAGATGGCTGGGAAGCCAACTCCATTTTAGTCAAGCGTTACTCAATATTTATAGTCAGACAAAAATAAGCTACAGGCATGCAATGAGTCATGGGATATGATGTGCACACACATATACGCTCATATAAAAACAGTGAAGACTGATAAGCGAATAAATAACAAGATCAAAGTATGGCTCAAGTAGAATGAATAGAATGGGTGTCCGAAAGTTAGAATACAGTATATGGGCTTAACATAGTAAATGACACTACACTTACAACCTGTACCCACTCGTCAACGGTGCTGGGAGAAGCAACAACAGTTGCGTCAAACCTAGTGTTGGATTCTGGAGGGTTGTCGACGACCTGAGAGGTCAGGTTATGTTTACCGCCTGAAACCGATCGAGCCTTGCGATTGCGGCTTCTAGGCGTTTCCTGTGGGATCCCATCTGGGAGACGGGGACCAGAAGAACCTACTTTCCTTGAGATTTTGTTTAAGGCAGGCCCCTTTGGAGACTGCTTTTCCTTCTTTGACCGGAGTGAGTCTTCTACTATCGAACTAACCTTAGTTTGTTTCATGTCGATTTGTGTGTCGATAGATTGAATGCTGTTTGATGTGTTCCGACTACGCTTGTTAAAACACTTCTTTGCAGCATCAAAAAGTGAGGTGGCCTCGGTTAACAGGCTGTTCGCATCCGAACAGCACTGTTGACAAAGCCATACGCAACCCTTCTTACTGAACCGTTTGAAAGCCTCAGGCATTAAGTTCGTGCAAACTTCGTGGTACCAGCTTTTGCACTCGTCGCACTGCATGCCGCTTTCAACGGGATAACGACAACCCGGACGTCCGGTCATTTAAAAGGAGTCCTTTTCAAAAAGCAACGAGATGCGATGATACTCAGAAACAAAAAAATAATCAATGACCAAAAAGTGAAGAACTGCAGATACCTAGCCTGTCGTGTGCCCTGATGGTGTTCTCGTAACTTTCGAGTTGCCTGATCTGCCAAGGGCGATGGGACAGTGCATGATGCTATTGTTGTGTGCTAGGTTCAAAGAGAATTGTATGCTATATGCACGCAAATCCGCCCCGTTATTGTTCCTATTTCAAACTTTTACACTGTTGAAGCGATCCGGTTTGGCTTGTCATTCACGGGTTTGCTGCCTGGCATGCACCTGGCTTCGTGCTGGACTGCATGTACGCTGGCCTAGCGGTAAATATCCTGGGCTTCAGCGTTAACCATTAGTTCAATGCATTTGGGAAACCAATGTATGGGATTATTGGTGTACAACTTTGAGAGGTGGATCACTCGGCTCGTGTGTCGATGAAGAGTGCAGCCAACTGTGTGATTTAATGTGAACTGCATACTGCTTTGAACATCGAGATTGTTAGGACCAAAAGTACTAACAGATACAATTGATAATGAGTTACTCAAGAGTACAAACGACAAAACTAATTGCGAGAACGGTAAAAACGGTGCTCTAGTCGAATACTTTAACTGAAATGAATTCAATTAAAGTGAAAACAGTAGTCTTGATACGTAAACACGATCAAAACAAAGAAATTTACTCAGCGAGGAAAAATACCACTGTCCTTTTTAAATAGTGGGCGTTAGTGATAAATTTACACCTGATATGCCTTCATTTTTGTCTTCGAAAACAGGGAATTTACGAGGACATTCCAAAAAAGCTCACAAGCCAAGAATAAATTTCTTGTCAGCTGACTATCGACTTTCTCATCGAATCATCGAGTGGAACTGATTACCTCAGCACGTGGTTGAGGCTTCATCCTTCGATTCGTTCAAAAGAAAGTTGGATGAACTGAGGGATCACTATTGCCAGGACTAACACAGGTCATCAGGCCTCCTGTCCTTCCCAAACTGAAATGCCAGTACAAGGTCACCTCGCGTCTTACGATACGACAAGGGATTATAGAGGGCAATTTCCCGAGGTCTGGAGAAATTTTGAGGTTTTTGTGCCATTTACTAAAATTTCCCGAAAGTTTACTATGGCGGCTTCCCGAAATCAGGAGGATCGGTACTATTGATGTTAAGCAGTATATATGTTTGGAGTCTTTGATAGGGATGGGAAGTTGTTTAGTTGCTTTGGGGATTTAAAATTCAGAAAGCTGAAAGAGTGCTAACTTTAATCCACTCCATAAACATCACTAACCTGCGTTAGTTCTTGGGTAAGTTCCGTATAGCGCGGGATAGCGATAGCGCATCAATTCAATACCCAATGCATTTGCCATGAGATTTCTTAAACTGATTCACTTCTTTCCTCTCACTCCCTGTTGTTTTGGTAAGGTTTTAGACATTTACTGGTGTCTAATGAGTAGTAGTTTAGCCACTTGATTGCAATAATTCTGGTCAGTGTGGTATTTATTTGTGGGTTTGTATATACATGTTGCGGTAAATAAATCCCCGAAATACATAATTCTTTAAGTCTTTGACATTTAATACTGACCTCGTTGGTTTTAATGGATACATCTAGCTGGAGGAGGTTGTTCACGCATCTGCACCAGATCACGAGTGGGTATGCCGTTCTACCCATCCCTTTCAACTTTTATCCAGCTCAAACCGAATGTTCTTCGACATGCCGACCGCCTTTCAAATATAACTTTTAACTTCCTCATTTTTGATTTGACAGCTCAACGAGAATAACCATAAGTGTTGGGGCCTGTCCTCGTAAGATTCATGTTTTGTACTTGCAATCCACTTAACCTCCCGTATCTGTATTTGATCTGAGGTATTTGTATAGCTTTTGAAGCGAAAGGATACAAGTACATTGTGGCCTTCAAGATGGAGCCGGCTTAATGTTAGGGACAACTCTAGGGGTGATTGCCTCAATTTTTCTTGTATGAAGTGGAGAGTTGCATTTGTCCTGACTGGATCCACCTAAAATAGTTTGAGCTGGTGTCAGAGCTATTTTAGGTTACAGGTCTGATGTCACTCTCTGAGAAAAAATTCGGAAGCGAATTTCTGTGGAGAGCGTTGTTGCATTCTACCAAATAAGGCATAATGTTCATGACGTTTCATTTCAAATGGTTAAGTCTGCTACGTATTCCTTTATTGTTCTAAGGTCCTTTGGGATCTCAAATGAATCCTTCTCGCCTTTTGTAGACTTACAGACTCATGCGTAGCCTGCGCAGATCAATGCTGTCAGGTTAATTTTATCTAATAAATACTTAATAAAGATCAAGTATAGAATTGGACTGCTCCTTGTGAAACTCCTGATCATGGGATCCTCCGACTGGCGTGCATTACATTTGCTTTGTTATAAAAAATCGTGTTCTCTAGATGGTTTTGAAGTCAGGGCAAAAGTGAGCCAGTGAAACCCGTCTTTGCAACATGCATAAAGGAAAGTAGATAAGTTATCATCTCAAAGGTTTTTGAGAAATCGGGGAATGTTACATGAGACGGAATCTCAGGGTCTCTGAAGTTCATCCAGCTTTCCGATGCTATGAGGGAACTGAATGCACATGGCATGACCTTCCTGAATCCGTGTTGAGATCCATGGGGGATGTTGTTTGTGTTCATCCATTCCTGGTCATGTATATGATAAGTTATTTATGGTCAGCTCGCATTTGGCTGCTAACTTGACCTGAAGACATATATCGCAGTGAACTTTGACGTTCAACGCTTTTATTAATTCGAAGTTGTTACAAAGTCTACGTGACCTATCTTAGGAAAACAGATTGAGACACCTCAACTTATTTTTGTTATCTTACCGTAGAATACGGGGTGATCTATTATTGGCTTATCGTATACTGAACGATGACCTTGGTATTAACATGTCTTATATTTTACTTCCGTCTAGGACTAATCATTTGAGAGGACATTCGAAGAAAGTTCAAAAACCGAGATCAAATCTTTTAGGTCTGGAGTTTCGTTTCTCGCACCGAGTACTGAATTACTGGAATTCTCTAACGGAACACGTAATATCAGCACCTTCTGTTGATATATTCGAAACGAGATTGGACCTCCACAGTATTACAAACTGCAAGGATTAATATAGGTCGACAGACCTCCTATCCTTATTACTGAAGAATGAAGACTAAAGAGTAGAACAAACAGAAGTATCATAAATTAGATTAAATTCATATTATCCCTTGTTAGAGTGAAATGAAGTCAGAGGCTCCATACAAGAGAATTTAGTAATAAAGAACAATGAGTTGTGACTTTTAACAAGTTGGAGTAAGCTCACATGAAGGAAGGGAAGTCAAGGTTGGTACAAGGAAAGCGGTTTATCAGAAGAAAGTGTGCATATAAAGGGTGAGGTGTTACGAATACTAACGGTTATGTCTTTTATTATCTAATTTTTTCTTTCTTTTCTTTTTTTGTCCATCCGATGCCAGCCACACAATCCTAGTGTAAAGTTCCGAGTTAGCATGTGGTAGGTTGTCTTAGTAGAATAGCTAATCCAGCATGGAATTGGAAACATGAGTCTGAGTGGTGAGCGTAGGAAGATAATCTATATCACAGATTGATTGACTTATTCTCAATCTCAAAGAGCCTGATACATTCAAAATGTTCTGCCCACACAAACACGGGTGGATTGAAGTTATCGCCCTCACCATCAATGCTTGCTGGTCAGTAACCCCACCCTCCCTCCTTTTGTGATGTTAGGCTCATTTAAGCTTATTTTTGACATATGTCATATCTCACACAATCCTCTGTTTCACAACCTGTTGGAAAACACTACTTCTATAAGTACCACTTTACAAGCTTATCAGACAGTTACAAGTTGCAAGATGCAAGACCACTGGTAGTAGGCAGTCGATTGTGAGTTTCTTTTGACCCATTAGGGTGGTAGTGACTGTCCCTTAGAGACCGAGTTTAGTTGAACAGTATCGATAGATTCAATGAGTTACTCGTCTACTTCAAGTGAAGAAATAGGATGGGAAAGGTTACTAACACAACTGCAAAGTAGGAAAAATAGAGTAGACTGAACTTGAAGTCCATTTTGGTCTAGACATGTAGAGAGCCTATGATGTATAAGTGGGGCGCAGATGTGTTCGTACGTGTTAGATCAGTGCAAGTGAGGGCTTGATCAAGCAGTTTTACAAACGTATGTCATTCATCTGCCATGTGTATTTCGGAGGGAAGACTGTTGCATATTATTGCATACTTGATGAGGAAGAAGTTTTCCCGATTTTTAAATCTGTAGTTCTCAACTTTGACTGTAGATATTTTGTTTCAAAGTTCGTATTCATCTGAATCTCTAGCAAGAACTATCTTACATGTTGAATAAGTAAGGCTTTTAAGTAGTTTGAAGTAGAGAATCAAATTAGACTTAAGCCTACTCTCCCAAAGGGGTGCTATTCCTAAGAGTTGGCATCGGGAACTATAGTCAATCACCGAGTCATTCTTAAGTATTTTGCGGGTGAGGTCTCGTTGTATTCCTTCCACCTTTACTATATCATATAGGCGTAGGTTGGAAAATGAAAACCAGCAGTATTCAACGATAAGTCATACACAAAATTTATAAGGAAGGATTTAAGATTTATTTTGAAAGTAATTACGGAGAATGAAGCCAAGCAATTTACGCAATTCGGATGCTTCGGCTGAGATGTGTTCAGAGAAATTAAGACTGTGTGATTAATGTACTCCTAGGTCAGTTACTGATGCCAGTCTGAGCAGTGTGGTGTTGTTATTTGTTAGTTTTATTTTAAGGGATGTGTCTTCTATACATAACTAGCCGCATTTATTTGTGTTGAGCTTTAACCTCCAGCGTTTGCACTAGTCGCCTACCATGTTGAGTTCATGTTGGATTGTTTGCATAGTACTACGTATATCATAAATGTCAGTTTTATAGATGGCTTCTAAGTCATCGGCATAGAGGTAGGTCTTACCTGTGGTAAAGCACTTGCATATATTTTTGATGTAGATTATAAAGAAGAATGAACCCAAGACACTGCCCTGCACAAGACCACTGGTTATTAATGGAGGTGTAGATGTTGTAGAGTTAATCTTGGTTATTTGGTATCTGTTCGTAAGAAAAGCTTGATCCATTGCAATGGAGATTTATAATTCCAACTGACTTAAGTCTGTCGACTAGAATATTATGAGTTACTTTATCCAAGGCTTTCTTAATATCGAAATATAGTATAACCACTAGTTTCTTCTGGCCACGTAGGCGAGTAATCTTGTTAAAGAAGTCTATCAGGCATGTACTGCACGACCTTGTTCTAATGAGGCCACGTTGTGATGGGTCTACTAGATCTTCCTTAAGTAGGTTATCAGATAGTTGATTTTATATCACTTTTTCCATTATGTGTGATACAACTGGAGTGATATTCATGGGTCTTTAGTTTTCGACCAGGTTTCTTGGTCCGGATTTGTGTTTGGGAAGAACATACGTTACCTTACAGGTTTCCGGATATGTACCTGGCTCTAAAGATGATGTGTATATTTTAAGTAATAGCGTCTGTATGTCCGGTCCTGATATTTTATAATGGATTGGGGGGATGTCATCAGCACCAGAACTCGCATTTGGCTTAAGGGTTTTAATGGCGTATGTATATTCCTAATGTCGAAGTTTATGGTACTAAGATAGCTTTTGCCGATGCACTTTATGTCGATATCTGGAGCACAAGATGTATTCTTATTGTGGGAAAACTATTGACTTAATAGTTTACACATGACGGTTTGGTCATTATATGTCACTCCATCGTGCAGTAAGGAGTGAATGTTGTGGTCTGCGTTCTTTCTTATGCGTTTCGTGAGGAGACGACATAAGGCTTGGGCTTTAGATGCAGCAGCGAGCGCAGTACGTTCCTCTACCTGTTAATGCTTGTTGTGTTGACTTTGTACTCCGTCAAGTACAGAGTATATCTGGTGCAGGGCACTGAAGTCTTTTGATATATAGTACGTCCTTTTCAGTTTTCGCAGTTTAGACCTGATCTTTTGTCTTATATAGGGAATAATTGTTTTAAAAGCGATTTTAGAGGGTATAGTGGTGTAGATTTGGTGGTGGTATTAAATATTTCTAGTGCTTCTAAGAGGTTATCACTGATAAAGAAACTGCTTCAATCAGAGTGCTTTATTATAAATCGAAAGTTTTCCCAGTCAGCGTTTGAGTAGTCTCTATATTGAAAACGCATATTTAGTGTCTTGAGTTTGTTGCACATGGCAAGAATTGGAAGGGTGCAGAGGACTATTTTATGATCGCCTTTGCGAAACTTTTTGCCAACCACCATTGATGTTGGTGTGACATTATGACAGAATATCAAA